GCATGGCTGGCTGGGGAATCCTGGGAGTTGAAGTCCACCCATCTTAAAGTTGCTAAGGTTGAGACGCACTGTTATAGAGAGTACAGAAGGTGACCTCAATGGAGATAGGAACAGAATGATAATGGCACACTGGTCATGATGTCATAGCACAAAAGATGCAGTTAAGCATTGGCATCATGACATCTGATGCAAGTAGGGAAGTCATATTGCGTGCACGATGACCTCGTGATGCACATGTCATTCCACCTCTTCCTGCAGACATCCCTGCTGGATGGGTTCCAACTTTCTGCAAATCTCAGAGTTCCTCTTTCTTCAGTTTTGGCCAATGGAGGAAAGCAGGTGGATCTTGGGAGGAGCGGTAGAAAGATGAATTGCTTGGAGTTGATGGCTTTCCTTCCCCTTTCTTGTTTTCAGGGTGGGGTTGACAATGAAGTCACGCTCTCAGCCTACATCATCATCACTCTGTTGGAGATTCCATTGCCTCTTACGGTGAGCGCTAGCCATCTTCACCCCACAGGCTATCCGGAACGAGGTTGTCTGGGAAGCACAGACTGATAAAAAGACCAATCAAACTTCAAGCGGAACCATCTTGAATACCAAGGGCCAAAGAGGACAATCAAAAGGATCAGGAGGGTCAAAGAGCTTCTCTAGCAGAAAAGTCTTGAACGTCAGGGACTTTTCAGCTTGAAAAAAGAGCAGCTGATGGGGGAGATGTTGAGGGGTGTAATATCGTGCCTGGCCTGGAGAAAGCCTGTCCAGGAGTCCTGCAATGAAGCTGATTGGAAGGAGGACAGGCCAAAGGAAGCCCTTCTTCACACAGCCTGTGAAATTCATGGCCACAAGACATGGTGATGGCCATGAACATGGATGGTGTTGAAAGAGGGTTGGATTCATGGAGGCAGCTTTAACGTGGGCTATTGGCCTGGAGGACTCAATATTGTGTGGGTTGGAGGCAGCTCAGTTCTAAATAACATTTGCAATAATGGAAAGGAGAGTAGGTTTCTATCTCCTGTTAGAACAACCCCGAGTGGTGTTTCTCAACCTTAGCAACTCTAAGACATGTGGACTTCAACTCCCAGGATTCCTCAGCCAGCCATGCTGGTTGGGGAATTCTGGGAGTTGAAGTCCACACATCTTAGCGTTGTCAAGGTTGAGAAACACTGTCCCAGAGAAATCTGGGAGAGGCAAAATGTTGTATGGTGATGGACCTGGGCCTAACCCAGCTGGATTGTTCTTATCTTCTCTCATTCTTCTATTCATATTTGGTCTACCCAGATTCCCTTTTGCCCGTGTCCTAAACAAGCGTGAGTGAAGCCTAACAAAGAGGTTGCAGGGAAGCTCAAATGATTAGGAAACAGGTTTCTGTTGGACATCAGGAAAAATGTCCTAACAGTAAGAGCTGTTATATTGCCTCAAGAGGTGGTGGACTCTTTGGTGGAGGTGTTTCAACAGAGGCAGGATGGTCACCTGTCAGAAACGTTTCAGTGGTGGATTCCTGCAGAGAGTTGGAATAGATGCTTTAGAGCAGGGCTTCTCAACCTTGGCAACTTTAAGATGCCTGGACTTCAACATGGCTGGCTGGGGAATCCTGGGAGTTGAAGTCCAGGCATCTTAAAGTTGCCATTCTGGCACCCTCTTATTTCTTTTTTTTTCTTTGAGTTTTGAGCATCATGCTTACCGTTTTCAGCCCTGGACCATTTTTTTCTTTTCTCGGACATTTTCACCTTATTTACTGTGACTCCCAAGTTGCCTGCCATCAGCTTATGAGAGGGTCTCCTTCCTTTTCCTTCCAGCATCCTGTGATGCGTAATGTCCTCTTCTGCCTGGAGAGGGCAGCAGAAGGGGAAGTCCACGTTTATACTCGGGCCTTGTTGGCATATGCTTTCGCCCTGGCTGGGAAGGGAGACAAGAGGAAAGAGATGCTGTGGGAGCTTGACAAAGAAGCTGTGAAGGATGGTGAGTCCCACATGGGGGTGGAGGACTGTAATGGTCTGTGGGAATGACCTTGGGAGACTGGAGGGAGAGCTGCAAATGGGACAGCCAGCCTGGAAAATATCTCTCAGCCCACAGAAGGAGGGAGAGTGTGGGAAGCGTTTCAGAAGGGACCCTCCCTAGTTTTCCAGAGAGTAAAAGGAGAGGAGGGAAGAATGCCAGCCTTCCAAGATAGGCCAGACAGGAACCACAACCAGATGAGCTCATTCTACTTTATTGTAAGGCTACATTAACAGACTCTTGCAAGTCTGAAAGTACAAATTTCCCGCCATCTCTTTTACAGCCTGAGAAGTTAGGGAGGGTCCTTTCTGAGTTTCTGAGGTTTTTTTTCTGTCTGTTATGCAGCTGCAGGCTATCCACCCTCTTATCTGATCGTTCCCTAAGTAGCATCTCTACTCCCCATCTCCCAAGGTCATTCCCACATACCATTACAGAGAAAGATTTTCGGTCTCGCAACATTCTGTTTTTGTAACCTTGCAATAAAGAGAGAGCTGGTACTCCTGGTTGGGCTTCTTGTCTGGACTACCTCGCAGGGCTAACATGAACATACTAGATCTGCAGCCTGTAGGGTCTCACTGATAAAGATGGGCATCAGCCCTTTGAGGTAGGACAGGTCAAGAGACAGACGCCACGTTTCTCTCTGTCACCTCTTGCACGGAACAAAACCAAGGCGTTTGAGTTTGTTGTTGAGTTTCTTTCTCCTGCTTCTTTCGATCTCTGGACTGTGTCCAAGTTCTGCCTTAATGGTTTGCTCATTCATTCATTCATTCATTCATTCAATTTATATGCCGCCCATCTTCCCCAGAGCTTTCAAAACACAAACCAAATGCATCTTTCCCCAGCATCCTGTGGCAGCTCCAGAAGCAGCCGCTTCTGAACTACCAGGAAGGGCTATTTGATTCTTTGAATTCAGATCACTGCACAGCCCTCCGCAGTATTAGGAAAAGGAGCAAAAGATCTCCACTGATTTGCATTGGACCTTTCTTTGTAAATGGAAGCAAAAATGGGGTAGAAATTCACTTGAAAGATTTTTCCCCATTGCTAGTCTCTGGCTGTTTGTTCCCTTATTACATGGGTTTTTATGTCTGTCTCTGTGTAGGTCTGTGTGTGTACAGCAGTATTTCTCAACCTTGGGAACTTTAAGATGTGTGGACTTCAACTCCCAGAGTTCTCCAGCCAGCCATGCTGGCTGAAGAATTCTGGGAGTTGAAGTCCACCCTTCTTAAAGTTCCGAAGGCTGAGAAATACCAGTGTACAGAGACAGGCATGCAAATGCATTTAAGACGGGTCTCTGAGACTTTCTTTTACTGTCAAACAGCATTTCTCTTTCAACTCTCCTGACTGATACAGTAGCTGATGTGGTCTATTATTTGACGGATTCTATTTTAAGCATCTTCCCAACTGGATTACTGCAACACGCTCTACGTGGGGCTGCCCTTGAAAAGCCTTTGGAAGATTCAGGTGGTCCAGAAAGGAACGATGCACAGTCTTAAGCGCATCAAAGTTCATTCATATGACCCTGTTGCTATGCCCGCTGCCCTGGCTCCCGATAGGCTTCTGGGTGAAATTCAATGTGCTGGCTGTCCCCTTGAAAGTCCTGCACAGCACAAGGCCAGGTTACTTGCAGGACCACCTGTCTCCAGCGGTCTCAGCCCATCCCACCAGATCCAGCAGGGTGGGCATCCTCCAGGTCCCTTCTCTGAAACAATGCCATCTAGTGGGACCCAGAAGATGTGCCTCCTTTGTCGTGGTACCTGTTCTCTGGAACAGCCTTCCCTCTGAGATCTGGACTTCCCCAACTTCCATAAGGCTGTGAGGTTCTGGAGTTTGAACCAGGTTACTTGTTTAGTCGTTAAGTCGTGTCCGACTCTTCGTGACCCCATGAACCATATTGCGCCAGGCCTTCCTGTCCTTCACTGCCTCCCTAAGTTTGCTCAGTTTCATGCTCATTGCTTCAGTGATGCTATCTAACCAGAAAGATAATTACATACCATGTTCAGGCCTGAAC